GGCAAACTTCTTTTAAAATAAAGAATTAAATTTCTTATAAAAAGTCAAGTAAATCTGACCCTACCACCTCCTTTGGCCTTTCTGCCTGGATGGAGAACTTGCCAAGTGTGGATTTAAAACTGGGTAGCACAGTTGCTACTGTTCAGTAAAAGAGGAACAGCTAGTACAAGGAAAGATGGTATAGGTTCCCAAAGGAAAATTTTAAACTAGTACAGAGTACTAACTTAGCTGTAGAGTGATTAACATGAGGCAAGAGTAAAAAGTTCAAGCCATGCAAACACACAAGGACAAATAAGGTGACCACACAGTCTCCTCAGCATAATCACGGTTGTGTAGAGACAACTTTCTTGCTGGCTTTCAAGTTGGGAAAGGGGATGTGAGGAACTCCAGTTTCTTCTTATGGAAGAGAAGTTTTCTTTCTTTATCTTTTAGCTCATCTTCAGCCCCCCCCCCCCCACACACACACACACACTTCTTGATGATTAGAGTTCCCAAAGCAGAGAAATCCATCACTCTGTCATCTCATCATCTGTCCAGAATGACTCTTTGACTGAAAAAGGCCATCTATTGAGCAGCCCTGAAGACTAACATCAATTCTTCTATAAATGAGGTCCTTGGCAACAAAGCATCATCAGGAAGTTTATTCCAATCATATAAAATCTATTGTAACCATAGGTGATACTACAAACTAAAGTCATTTGATATCACTCAATACCCAAGCTTGAGCATCCCACAGTGTCTCTTGAAGGGTTCAGAGAGAGCACAGATGACTCGGGGGTCCTGCATATGATCCTTGGCCCTGAGCTAGTGTGGCAGTTCCAGTGAAATCTGCTACTAGCTTCTGGCCAACCAGCAGCCTGTTTACTAGCCCTGTTTAATAGTTGGCCAGGTTTGGTTGTCACTCTTTATTTTTAATATTTTATTGATTTTTTTACAGAGAGGAAGGGAGAGGGACAGAGAGTTAGAAACATCGATGAGAGAGAAACATCGATCAGCTGCCTCCTGCACACTCCCTACTGGGTACGTGCCCGCAACCAAGGTACATGCCCTTGGCTGGAATCGAACCCGGGACCCTTGAGACCGCAGGCTGATGCTCTATCCACTGAGCCAAACCAGTTAGGGCGGTTGTCACTCTTAATGGTAACTTTTACCATCCTCAGAGGTGACGATGTACCTATAATAACCTGCTATACCCACTCTCACAGTTCAAGCTTCATCTCCCACTCCTAATCCTCTTGTCTCATCTGGTTTCCTTCCCATTGACTAAATGCTTTCTCTGCATGGGTCGACAAACCAGCTGGATGGTTTCATCTGATTTTATTTTCTCTTTCTACCCCGGAAGCTGTCTCTCAGAACTGTTCCTTCAGTGACTGAGTATTAGCACCAAAGTGCATGGGATGGTCATTCCTGACTCCCTTAAAAGCATCCAACAAGTGTCCCCAGCCTATTGCTCATCTAGGAAGAGAACATAGGTGGACTATCATCCATGACCCCATACCAAACAAAATAAAATAACAACAAAAACAACAAATGAAATAAAAGGAATTGTAGTCACTATCTGTGCAATAAGATAAATCTGGCATTCTATTGTTCCAAGGCAAACTTTAAGCCAAGGAGCAGTACAAGGAAAACCAACATGTGCTCCTAGATGTTCTGGGCTCTATGTATGATCAACACATCAGCAAGAAAAAGATATGTCCCGATGAGCAGGCTCACAGTGAATGAGGATTGAGTTTAGCCAATTTTTATTATAAAATTTTTTGTTTGAAAAACCTAATTATGGACTACCTCAGGAAGCTCCCTAAACCTTCTGTTTGTCTAAGAACACAAAGTTCTGTCCCTATTGTGGGGTAGCCTAGAGATCACTTCTAAACTGGTAAGCAGAGACCACTGATGCTTAGATTTCAAAGAAGGCTAAAGCTTGGTTTGAAATTATAACTATTTTACACGTGAAGCCCTAAGGTTTTTGGAGGTGAAATGGTGATCCCAAGACCTCTGTTGGGGCTTTCCTACTGAATCTATTTAAACCTCTGTTCCTAATACTTTAACTGAGCTCATGTATGGGTCCCTGTAAGCCTCATCTCTTCCCAAACTCTGTCAAATGATGGTGACTATCCCTTCCACATGTACTTTCCTCCAAGTTACTAAAAAAAAAAAAAATGAACTTTGAGGTCTCTCTCTGACTCAGCACTCCCAAGTGATGCTATACCTTGCTAAGCCTCTGTCTTTCTCAATCAACTATAAGCCCCATAAAGGCAGAGACTGTGGTTTTCCCAGAGTTTTAGCACCCAATTCCTTTTTAGCACTCAATATGCAATTATCGAATAAATAATAAATCCTCCTAGTGTTAACTCGAGGGGAGGGGAAGTTGACAATTAGATATATTGACTTAACTGTTTCCCTATCACCTCTGATTAATAAGTATCTTTCTTAAATTATTTCATGAAAAAAATCATGATTTGATGACCCTATTAACTGCTTATCTATGGAGAAATTATTTTCATATATACTCTCTACATAATCTTATCTCCTTGAAGTTGGGCACCATATTTAAAAATAATTCGCATCAAGAGATATAAAAATGTTTGTGCTGTTTGACATGATAGTTATACTTTTAGGAAATCAAATTTTAAGAAATAACTGCCAATGTAGGTGACTTATAAATGTGTCCAAAAGCATTTGTAGAAATATAATTTATAAAAGAAAAAGACTGTCCATGACTAGAGTGTGAACAAGTCAACTAGAGTACATTCATAACATGTATAGAACTATTCAATAACTATCCATTAAGTGCCTACTATGTCCAGGCACTGTCCCAGACAGCTGATGGATACTGGTCAGCAAATCAGACTAGGATCTCTGCCATAGTGGAGTTTGAATAATTTTTAAAAATATGTTTTTAATCATTTTAGTTACATAGAGAAATGCTTAGCATATGATGTGAAATAAAAAAGCAGGATGTGAAATTATATATTCAACATGATCTCTTATATATTCATTTATACACAGAAAATTACTTTAATTCAAAATCTTAACAGACATCTCTGAGTGTTGAAATTGTGAGTTATTTTTCTCTAAGCTTTATTTTACTCTAAGCTTTTCTATATTTAAATATATTTTTTCTATTTACAATATTATTTTCAATAAGCAACGTTTATAGTCAGATAAAGAATGGAGTAGGTAGGATAGTGAGTAACACATCTGCCTGAGCTATAGGAGTCTGGAGCTCTTGTTCTAAAATCTCCCACACTGTGTCCCTTATGAGTAATACACTATTTTTAAGTATAAGTTTCCCAATCTACAAAGCCCTTTTTAGCATTCCTTCACCTGGCAACTGAGAAGAGCAAGCAGTAACCTGCCATGAGCAATTGCTGATTAGTGTTAAATGTGTTTGGGGCTGGTAAGTTAACAAGTTGATGGGTCAATGTAAACTGAGTTTTGAGGTATTACATATTCTAATACCATGGAATTATTTATAGAATGCTACTTGTATACAAAGTAGTTTACACACACACACAAATGAAATTGAGAAAGAAACTAAGCTGAACAGGAGGGAGGAGCTTTGAAGGCATAACTAACGAGGTGACAGTGAGTGATAGAAACAATGAATGATAGCAGAATCAGAAATTATAGCATCTCAGCTCTGGTGAGTGGATTGGTGGGGGGGAGAGTATATAGGATAAAGGAAGAGTCTGGTGTTGGATTTTTCTGAAGAAAAAAGGCCTCAAATATTTTATCAATACCCAAAGCAAAAGAAGTTCAAGATTATCTGCCTAAGCAAAATATTCGCTTTTAGAGTAAAGCTAATGACTCCATGAGAGGAAAGGCTCAGCTGATTACAGGAGGTACAAGTCTTACAGCCCTTATACAAAGAGTAGTGACAACTTATTGCTGCCCTCCCAATCACGTGACCTGCAGAAAGGGCTTACTCTGGAAGGATAGAAAAGCAATACAAAAACCTGTTTGAATTTTGTTCTAAATTGATAGCTAAAAGAAAAGCAATCTCTTTCACCTCCAAGGTCCAGAGGGTTTCCCCACTATGACATGTGAATAAGCCAGGCTTTGAGAATCCCTGTGGAGGGTCAGAGAGTCTGTGAACCAGTGTCAACCGGGCTTGGGTTCCGAGGACACAAGTAGGAAGAGGGCGATGGTCCAGGGGAGTGGATTCCATTCTTTAAACAGCATGAGCCTGTGCCATGCAAGGAACACCATGAGAAGAGAAGAGACAGGGACTCAGATTAGTATTTCCTATTGTGTTCACTTTTCTCATTGTCTTTGCTTTTGTGGGCTGATTTTTTAATATAATGGCAATACACATTAATACATTATTGTGGAAATCTATATCTGCAGAATAACACAAAAGTAGTAATAAATACCACCTGTAATCTCATTTCTCAGAGGTACTCAACTTTAATGCTCTGACACATATTCATCCAGCTATCTTTTTTTTTTAATGTCTAACATTGTTTGGCCTTTTAAAGTTGGGGATCATTATGACCATACTGCTTTGTAACCTGCCTCTTAAATTTTAAATAATCTCCTGATATGTTTGGCAATGTCTTTTAATGCTCTTTTAAAACGTGATTTTGAATGGCTGTATGCAATGCCATCCTGTGAATGCTCTTGAATTTACCTACAAGGAAGCTTATTGACCTTTCAGATTGTGGTCAGCTGAATAATGCTGCTGCCCCAAAAGACATTGAGAATGGGAACCTGTGAGTGTTAGCTTATATGGCAAAAGAAACTTTGCAGGTGCGATTAAATTAAGGATCTTGAAATGAGGAGATTATCCTGAAATACCCAGCTACACTTTAAATGGAATCCCTCGCTAGAGGCTCAGAGGGAACACATCCTGCTGACACCTTGATTTTGGCCCAGGGGGGCCGATCCTGGGCTTCTGATATCCAGAACTATAAGAAAACAAATGTGTGAGTTTTTAAACCACCAAATTCGTGGTCCTTCGTTACAGTAACCATAGGAAACTACTACACAGTCTCATGCCTATTTATGAATGACTGATTTATTCTGCATTATTTCATATTCCTGCCTTCCTTTTTATTAAATACATAACAAACCCGATCACTAGCAGCTTTGTGAACAAAGAATGGCAACAGCTGGTCAACCCAATGCCCCTGTTGGCTGCTTCCCATTTCTTCTGACCTTTGGTGTGCTGGCTTGTAGGAAGGTATAAGAACAGGGCAGCTTCAACAGGATCCCTGTGTCCCAAAGCCCATTAAGATCAACTGCTTTTCCTCACCAACAGATAGGAAGGTAAAACACTGCAAACTCACACCTGCCATCCCAAGGCCCCAGTCCTGGACCACTGCTTCCCTGCAACTTCGTCCACGTACGAGTAGAGAAGCTGAAATCAGTGTCGTGGTGATGTCTGCTGGTCAAGGGCAACGTGGGAACTTCCTCTCATCCTTGATAGGAGGGCAATACACAGTTCCTGTCGTTTGGGTCAAGTTGACCTGAAGTAAGAGCTTTGAGGAAATTGTTCAAGACATTTGACAAGTGGGGTTTGGCTACTTTCCAGGCACTTCTGATCTTCTTCTGGCAGCACTGGATGGTAGAAAGTAGGCTGGTCTTAAACAACCTCACCTTTGACACTTTCCATCTGGGCCTGCATGTCCTCATCTGTAAAATGGAAGGATTGGATTAGATCGGGGCTTGCACACCAGAATCTCTTATTTACTAATTTCATTGACCTTCAATTTCAAACTAGTTGAAACATCATTGCTCTGTGTATAGCTTAGAAATAGTGCTGCCTTTATAGAATATAAATGCAATGAAAATTGTTTTTCTTCTTATAAATGAAAATGTGTAGAATAAGCTGCATCTTTAGAAATTCGAAATAGAGGTGACTATTTTTGAAGGGAGTATTTCAAGAGAGCAATCAAAATAATGCCAGTGCTATAACTATTGTATTTGTGATGGTCAAGTCCTATGGTCAAGTCCAAACATTTGACCAAATGTCATATTTCAAAGGCCTCACCTGCCCCTAGGTATAAACATGTGTCAGCACTGTTAGATACTTTCCTGAACTTTAATGAATGATATAAACTTGTGGGAGCTATCGCAACATAAGAACCTCCTGGAATAAATGTATGAAGTCTTAAAATCAATCTATAAAAGTGCTGAGCTTTACCTGTTAAAGAAATTAATTGATGCAGTACCACAGGTGCCATAGGTGAGAAAGTGCTTATGGGTGAATATTTTCCACAATCACAAACCTGCTAAGAAAATGCATGTGCAGCTCATCGGGCTGTTAATTCTGTTATTTACTTTGCAAGGGTTTTCTCCTTTGTGCAGAGAAAAGCGTGTATCTCGCTGGAAGGTAATGCTGAAAGGTTGGAGAGACCCTGTGCACCAATGAATATTTACTGGGCAACTTGGAGAGTAGAGTGATTCTGTAGGTCTGCATATGGCCATGCTTCCTTCCCAAACCCTTCACACAATTGCTCTTCCTTCTGTATTACATCACTGCCCTGCCTTTGACTGCTCTAAATTTACCACTAGGAATCAAAAATGTCTGTGTCTACTGCACAGATGTTTGTCTTCTCCCTAAGCATGGCTATGGGCCTTGAAAAAGGAACCCAGCTCCAACAACAACAATGTGTGGCATTGAACAAACCACTTACCCTCTCTAAGTCTTGGCTGGGACCACTTGACATGGGGGAGTGGGAGACCCTTATTTCTCTCTTCCCCCTGATTCCTCCCTGACTTACCAACTGCAGCTTCTGGCCTCACCGAGATCCAAGCAGGAAAGAAGGAGAGGTAACCTGGAAACCATTTTTTACTACTGTCAAAAAATGGTCGCATGCCCTCTGTTTCAAGCTGACACTTTCTCTGGTGAGTGCTTTTATGGGTTCTCTGGAGACCTGCTCCTAGGACACTACAAATGTGACATTGTCAGGAGCAGAGAGCCTCCTTCATCAGGCCCCACTCAATCCCTCCAGAAGGAGTCCACAGCTGGGATCTACAGGACAATATTCCAGCCAAGGGCTCCACAGCTGGACCTTGGAATCGTGCCCCCTCACTGACCTCCTATCAGAAGGCGGGGTCAGTAGTTCCCAGTGTAACTCTGGACCTGCTGGCACAGCCACACTGGGTTGCTTAGGTTTGCATCAGGCACCTCGCCATTCTGCCCTTTAACTTCTGGGACTCAGGTCTCCAAGTAAGATGAGACTTAGCTCAAAGAGGGAAGTACTCCCCACCCCACCCCTGGGAGAAGCTCTCTCCACAAAATGTTCTTGACTCTTTGTATCTTTCATCTGGGTGAGACTCACTTAGGTAAGGAATCCAAGAGATGGAACTAGAATAGATCTCATGAAATGTGCATATGGATGATCTCATAGGTAAATGTGATATCTGACATTTATCATATTTTTTTAAAAAATGGGTTATAATTTATAGGCCATCAAATTCATTGTTTAAAGTGTACAATTCAATGGATTTTAATATTTTCAAAAGGTTGTACAACCATCACCACAATCCAATTAAGAACATTCCCATCATCCCAAAAAGAAACCCATATCCATTAGCAGTCACTCTCCATTCTCCCTACCCCACACCCTGGCAACTACTAATCTACTTTCTGTCTCTATAGATTTGCCTATTCTGGCCATTTTATATACATGAAATCATAGGATGTGTGGTTTTTTTCACTTAGCATAATGAGTTAAAGGTTCATCCATATTGCAGCACACATCAGTATTTCATCCCTTTTGTGGCTGGATAATACTATTGTGAACACCACATTTTGTTTATCCATTCAACAGTTGATGGGCATTAAGGTTGTTTTTATTTTGGAGCTATTAAGAATAATTTGTACAAGTTTTTGTGTGGATATATGTTTTCACCTAGGAGTGAAATTGTTGGGTTACATAGTAATTCTATGTTTGAAATTTTTCAGGAACTGCCAGACTATTTTTCAGATGGCTACACCATTTCACAATCTCAAATGTATGAGAGTTCTGATTTCTCTACATCCTTGCCAACACTTGTTAATGTTTCTCTTTTAATATAGCTACCTAGTGGGTGTGAAATGGTATCTCATAATTTTGTTAGCATTTTCTCTAAAGACTAATAATGTTGGCCATCTTTTCATATGCTTATTGGCCATTTGCATATCTTCTTTGAAGAAATGTCTATTCAAATCCTTTGCCCATTTTTCAATTGGGTAATTTGTCTTTTTATTGTTGACTTGTAAGAGTTCTTTATTTGTAATTCCAGATTCTTATCAGATAAATGATTTGCAGATATGTTCTCCCATTTTGTGGGTTGTCCTTTTATTTTCTTGATAGTGTTCTTTGAAACATAAAGGATTTAAATTGTGATGAAGTTCAATTTATATATTTTTTATTTGCTTGTGTTTTAGGTGACATATCTAAATTACCATGGCCTAGTCCGAGGTCATGAAGATTTACAGCTATGTTTTCTTTTAAGAGTTCTATCATTTTAGCTGTTACATTAAGGTCTTTGGTTAAATTGGGGTTAATTTTGTTATATGGTATGAGCATTTGTTGTATCTTAACATCGCATTAAACCCAGCATCCTGTTATGTAAGTAAATCAATACTATGTTTTTTTAAATAAGAGGTGACAAAAATATCTATGCCATTAAATGAAAATATTTTAAGCACTATAAAATATGTATTTGTTGTAAACATTAAGATATTTATTGGTATGTATGTTATAAATCATCCTTTTGTATTAAAAGAGACTTCTTAAGGTCCATATTAGGCAAAAAATTAACTTTATTTGTCTTATTATTTTTACTTAAAAGCAATGCAAGCAGAAAACTTTTAATGCATGAGTTATTATAATACTCAATCACTAATTTCTCTAAGAAAAAACATCTTTACAAATTAACATATTACTCTTATGGCTATAGCCTACATTAGGCACATGTTAACAAAATATTACTACTCAAATTGTTCTTGCTAAAATGCATGTGCCTGACAGAGAAACAAACCGCAGCATTTCAGCATTCTGATCTCTTCTTAAATGAAGTCTTTGGTAAGATGAAGTGTCAAGAAATGGAATTGTTGGTAGTCTGCCATCAGATTTCATTGCACTCAGAAATTCATGAAAACACAAAGAGAAGACAGTTCTAACTCAGCGGGTGTGAGAGAAGTGGGGAATGAAACTAGAATCAGAGATATAAAAAAAAATAATCTTTATGACTGAGAAACAATGATGTGATTTTGGAGTTAGACTTCTTTTATCTGCAACTCAGTTCCACTACTGACCAGTTCTGTGAACTTGACCGAATTAACTCCGTAAGCCTCAGTTTCTTCCTCTCTATAATGGGTTTCATGACAGTATATGTCTCATAAGATTGTCATGAAAGTTAAAGGAGTTCATTCAAGTATAGCACCTAGTTCAGTTCCTTGATTATAGAGGAGGCTAATAGGTGTTAGCTTTATCATTTATTATTATTATTCCAACAGACAGAAAACTTGCACAGAGCCTCCAAATGACTGAAAATTCATGGCTTCCAGAATTAAATTCCTATTCCTTGGAGTTATTATATCATTCATAACATCTGAGTAAGACCCCAGCAAAATGTTTCAGCAGACAGGGGAATTTGGTTGTCATTTCAGTCTTTGGCCATGAATTTCAGGGATCCAATCTTCCCCAGTGGGAAAATGAGCTTGGAAGCACTGTGAAGTAGTTATTACAGAATTTTTCTCTACAGAAGAGCCAGCTAAGTAAGAACAGGGGAGAGAAAATATCCTAAAATGAATTATACAAATGATAACTAAAGTTGCCAGTGAATCAATAAAAAAATCCAAGGCACCTTAGTTCCATCTTCACTCAGACAGTAGATAAAACAGACCACCTAAGTTCTCTGGGGTTCACTCTTGTGATTTGGCAAATGAGATTTTAAATTTCACCAGATGATCATTAAAGTCCATTTCAGATCTTAAAAGTTCTATGGTTACACTTCCAAAATAAAATCGTGACACTCATTTATTTCCAGTGTAATCCAAGACTGTATCAGAAAGCAATATTTAAAGGACTATTACTTATAGAACACACATAACCATAGTAACACAAATTTTTAATTTCTTTTTGAAGCTAGCTATATGAATAGGTAATAGATTCATATAATTTAAACTACAAAAAGTACAAAAAGGTATACCTAGAAAAGCCTTCTTTCACCTATTTGGTTCCAACTGTTCCCCATCAGCACATATGTGCACACGCGCACACACACACACACACACACACACACACACACAGACCAGTAACCACAATTATCCTTCCAGATATTGTTTATACATTTATATATACAAGGCAACACAAATAGATCTTTGTTTCCTCCTTTCCTACATACTGATAATATCTAATGCTCTCTCTTTCACACCTTGCTTTTTGCACTTAACAATACATCTTGGAGATCTTTCCACATCAATAACAAAGGTTTTCCTCATTGTCTCTCTTATAAGGACAGAACATTTCATTGTGTGTATGCATGTCATCTGGGTTTTCAAACTTATTATCAAATAAATGTATTATTCTTAATTTTTTAAAACTTCCCCTTCTGTTCATAGCTATTTTCCTCCCATTCATTCCTCTCCCCACTCTGAATTCTATGTTTATTTGTATCTTCTCTCTTTTTTTTGAGCAGTCTTTCCAGGAGTCTTTTCTCTCTTGTTAATATTTTCTAAGAATTTTGCTCTTGTTAACATTTATTTTTATTTTGTTGTTAATGGTGTTTTGGTGTTTTCTTCCTCCTTGTTTCTTTGGATTTGCTCTGTTGCTCCTTAAATTCTCTAAGTTAATTAACATGTTTATATTCTATGTTTAGGGCTTCTCTTTGTTTTCTCTGTGTCCTAATAGATGGTCATTTGTGTGTGTGTGTGAATGTCCCATGGACACTTGGGGAAAGATGTATACTCTGTTTTATTGGAACAGAGTATGATATATATAAATTGGATTTCCCTTGTTAATTTTGTTATTTAGGTCTTCTACTGTTTTTATTACTTCTTGGTGACTTTATCGGTCATAGACTAAGAAATGCACCAAAGTCTCTCCCTATAAAATATTTCTGCCTAGATCTCATTGTACTGAAATTTTTCTTTATGCACGCTGATGCTATGTTTTTAGGCTTATGTACACTCAAAACGATTCAATCCTTGTTCTGAATTACACTCTTTATCATGCTAAACTGTGATGTAGTTATACAAGGTGTCCCAAAAGAAAGTATACACACTTTCACAGCTGATAGTTCAATTTTGAAAATGAAATGTATTTTAATAAACCCTACCTTTATAGTTATTCAAAGTGTGTGTATACATTTTTGGGGGACTCCCTATACTTGTAAAAGCAACCAGTAAGTCAGAATTATTATTGTTCTGTTTCTTCCCCACTGCTCTTTCTTCTACTATTCAATTTCAGTTTGTAATATTCATCTTTACACTTTAAATATACCTGTACTTCTACCATTTTCTTTATCAGATTTAGATTATAGATTTTTGTCTCTTCACCTGAAAGATCAGGAAATAAGTGCACTGACATGATCTCCACTACGTTATACTATTACTATCACATTGACCTCATCAGGGTTTATAACATTTACATTCAGTTCCTAACAACATACTGGTATCAACCTAAATCTATTCTGACTGCCAGGCCTTTTCATTCTAGTTCCCAGCCCTCCCCAACAGGTCTTAGCCCTCAGACAAGAAAAGGCCTTTGTGGACTTTTGAGAACCACAATGTAAAGCCCCGGGAGAACTACTTGGAACTCTTCAGGTTTGGAGCCATGGGTGGGGGCTTGGTCCAAAGCACAGAGTCTAAGAGCCTGTGGAGATTGCAGTGCCCAACAGTAGAGAGATGGCAAAGCAGGGCAAGCAAGAGGGGCTTGTCTGCAAACACAGCTGATGTGTGGAACATCTGGGCAGAGACTTTGCAGGGGACATGAGTCCTACTTGAGTAGATGGGGACACTGAATCATGAAAAATTGGGTTTAAGTGGTAAAGTGCTCACATGTGACACGCCCCTCCCTCCCCACCAGGCCTGGGAACATTTAGATGAAATCTGAAAGTAAAATACGATTTAATAAGAAAATACATTGCCCTAACCGGTTTGGCTCAGTGGATAGAGTGTCCGTTTGCAGACTGAAGGGTCCCAGGTTCTATTCCGGTCAAGGACATGTACCATGGTTGCAGGCTCGATCCCCAGTGGGGGTCATAAAAAATTGGGTTTAAGTGGTAAAGTGCTCACATGTGACACGCCCCTCCCTCCCCACCAGGCCTGGGAACATTTAGATGAAATCTGAAAGTAAAATACGATTTAATAAGAAAATACATTTTTATAGATAAATAGTGAGTTCTGATTAAACAAAAATGTGAGATTATAGATGTGTTTATATGAAGCTTTCCCTGTAATTGATACAGATGTGTACTTTTGTCTTTAAATAAGAATCAAAGATAGACCTGGATTTAAAAAAAATACTCCCTACTACAACCAGTATCCTTCTCTGAATAGAATTTTAACTCATCTTGTTGTTCTTGCCTTTTTACCCCTGTTATAATCTCACACACACACACACACACACACACACACACACACACACACAGGGTAGCCTTCTGGTGTTCTTGTTCAACATGCCTGGGAGTTCACAGTTCCCTTTCAAGTGTCCAAATTGTCCTCCCTCCCTACCTAGAGTCTCCGGGGCACAGGTCCAGAAAAACAAAATCACCTTGTCACAACCGTTTCCTGTTCCCCTCGCCGAGAGGCCACTTCTCCCTCCGTCGAATTCCCGGGGGGTTTATCTGCCCCTCTCACGGAGTTTATCGCTTTCTGGCTTCCATTCCCGTTGTTTACATGCACTAGACATCACGGTCAGAATGAAAGAATGGCTGTTGGCTTCAGAGCCAGACCTGTCTGAGGATGGATCCCAGGTCCATCCCTCGCTAGGTGGGTGGCCTTGGGAAAATTCCAAAGCCTTGGGAGCCTCCTTTTTTGGCAAAATATATAAATAATATCCTCTGTCCTCATCGTTTTGAAGATTGGAGATGGTATACATAAAACACAGTTCTTGGTAAAATACCAAAAATGTCCATTATTATTATCATTATTTATGATGTTATTTTTATGTCCCTTTTGAAGTATGTATTTATCCATTCACTTAACAGATATTTATTGAGGACAAACTATGTGTCGGGCACTGGGGACCACATGGAGAAAAAGACAGAAGGTTTGGGGTGGGAGGGTGGGTTAAGGCAGTGAATAAACAAGCAAACAAATAAATACAGAGATGATTGCAGATAAGACAGCACTGTGAAGAAAGTAAAATAACACGTGCAAGAGAGAGAGAGAGAGAGAGAGAGAGAGAGAGAGAGAGAGAGAGAGAAACGATAAGCAAAGGCCACTCTGGGAAGAGAGAGTTTGGCCTGAGATCTGGACAAGAGGGAAGCCCCCTCCAGCAATCCCAGAGCCACAGCATGTCAGAAGTTGGGGACAGTGACGAGAAGGCTCTGAGGGGGATTGGGCTGACAGCAAAGTGAATGAATGAAGGAAAGCATGGTGGAGGGTGGATGGGAAGAGACAGGCAGAGGCCGGTCCCTCGGGACTGTGTTGGCCCTGATGAAGGGCGTGGATTTTATTCCCAGTATTATTGGCTACCTCCTGGAGGATATAGGTCGCTGGCTTGTACTCAGTATTATACCTGCCATGCTGTTTGCCCCTTGGAGAGCTGTTACCCCGCAGCCAGTCCACAGATTTTTGTGCAATAGAGAGATGAAAGGAAGGAAGGAGGACAGGAGGGGAGAAAGGGATAGAGAGAAGGTCACAGTAGACACCCATACGGACGAATCTGATGGTTCTCACCATTGTCAGGGACTCGGGACAGACCGGGCGGCCTTGGTGGGCGGAGAGATTTTCCATCCTCCCGTGAACAAGTGAACATTTGGTTCACGCTGGTCTCGTCCTCGGGTGGTCCCAGATGGCGCTGGGGGCCGGGAGCCGGGAGGTCTGCGAGGAGAGCAGCTCATCGCTGCCTCTGGCTCTCGTCGCTGGCAGCTCTGGCTCTCAGGTCGCAGATAACAACTGTCAGATGGTCTTACTGTGCAGCAATAAGCTTCCCCAAAACAAAGAGGCCAGCCCAGCTCCAGAGAAGCGGATCTGGACAAAACACACAAGCCTGGAAAAAATTAAAAGTTCGCGAGCAACTGAGCAAAGCACCTCGGGGAAATGCAAGGGGTTCGCCCTGAGCACACACTGTTCCCCACGCCCTGGGCGCACCAGCAGAAAAAAATAACCCTCCATCCTCAGGAAAAGGAAAAAGAAACCACCGGAGCAAGGCAGGGCTGCCACTCAAAACTAAAACGAATGCGGCGAAAGGCTGGCCCGGCCCAAAAATGGAGAGAAAGGGAAATGAAAGGCAGAAGACAAGAGACAAGATGAGAAGAGGGGCGGGAGGCGGGCTGCTGGGCACAGCCTGCCCCTCTGTCTTGCAGACAACACATCCCTTATGGCCGCAGGGTAGCTAAACCAGCCTTGGCAGGGTCCCTGGACACCCTCCTGCTAAGAGCACCCTGGTGAGGAGAAACTAGACTACAAACAAAGGACCACAGCCTCCTCTTTAATGTTTTTTTTTAATTTTTTAAAAACTTTTGTTATAACTTACTTTTTTTTATTGACTTTATTGGGGTGACATTGGTCCATAAAATTATACAGCTTTCAGAGGTACAATTGTAATCCAGCATCTGAATAGTAAGTGTTTTTAAAGTTAATTTTGGTCTTAAGTGTAAAAGGAACTGAATTCAAGCTTGGCCAACCCCACTGGTGCCAGGGGTATTTGCTAATAGATAGACGTTTCCAAAAGAGGGCTCCTGGTTCAGGACAAAACAGCAGGGTTTGGAAGAGCAAGAAATGTGAGAGGATGAGACTCGGGGACCACATTTGAGTGAACTTGAAGGTTGGCCAAGCCTGGATTGGGTGAGAGTTGCTTGTCTCAGTTTGCACCTTGAGGAAATGCACCGGTTGGAATTAAAGGTAGAACTAGCTGGCATGCTTATTATTCTGAATGACCAGTTTCCTCATGGGTGCCAGCTCTGTGCCCAGAAAGCTACACGGATACATTTCTGAGACGTGGAGTCATGATGGCAAGATGCCACCTGTGGCTTCGTCATCACGGTTCCTTGGAACACAGGCCTTCTTCACCAGAAAGGCGGGAGGAAGCCTTTAAGCAAGGATATACTTCTGGTGCCTAAGGCCTTTCAAACTTCACATTTCTGAAAAGGTAAACCAAACTGTTCTGACACAAAGGAAGAGATTTTATCCAAAAGCTGTAACAACCTTTAGAATTTCAATAATCTTACCATGTCTACCATGGCTGGGGTGCCCAATGCTCTGCCCGTGGCAGGGGTGCCTTTAATGTCACCAAACCTCTACAAAGTCAATATCCTCCTCCCCGTGTTACAGATGGTAAAACTATGGCTCTGAGAAGTTAAGGAATTTTCCCACGGTCTCTTAGCCAGTAAACAGGATTTCCAGGTTGGCCTAGGACTGTCTAATTCCAATGCGGGAATAGAAAGTCATCTCTCCATGACCAAAATAGGAACATTGAATGGCAGATTTCAACTGCGTGGTCATCTTCCATGAAAATTTTTGATAGTTGATTGTCTTTTCATTGGCTGGGGAGTAGGGTGGAGAGGGGTCGACATTTTTATAGAACATACACAGTAGGTCTTCTCTCCTGAATACTGTACTGTAGTTTCCTAGAGCAGACATTTTGAGTTTATAACTTCCAAAGAGAAATGATCTTTTTTAGATTTTTGGCTTGGGTGTCTTTGTGTCATGAAGATCAACTCCATTACTGGGGCAGGGAAGAGTAAAAATAGATTTCCCATTAGTAGCAACAAGTAGCTGTTGTTTGTCAGCCAGAAGGAAATTCTTTCATTCTTTTCCTGCTTTAGTTCTTTTTCTGCCAACAGTTAAGCCAGGTTCATTGTAGAGTGGGTGAGAGCCAACTTCATGCATGGGTGGAGTCTATGGTTACCTATAAAAGATGCCTTCAGAGATGTGAGGACCAGGGTGCTGAACCCAAGCAGGACATGAGAGCACTCCCCCAACCCCCAAAAAATAAAGGAGAAAATAAGTGTATCTTTCATGAATATATACAAAATTGAAATTATTCAGAAATCTAGGAAGAAGCTATTTTAATTTAGCAAACATGCAAGTTTTATGTCATTGTCAAAGAAAAGGTGTTTTGTTTTGGTTTTTGAGATTCAGTGCCTACAAAATCTACCCCAACTAAACTAAAAATCTCCCCTTAAACATTTACCCATACGGATACCTGAAATTCCATTTTTTAGCAGTAAGTTCCTTTGCTAAAAAGTGTTCTCTTTCTTCTGGGTAGGTTTTCTTTCTTGAGGTAAATACCCTGGGAGCGAACACATTAGTTTCATATCTCTCTGGGGGAAATAATTAGTTATCAGATGTATTTTCTCCACAACAGAAAGATCCTGGGTCCCATAGAAGCATTTGCAAAGGGAAATACCAACCTCAACGAATGTGTACAAAAGTTAGGACAAATTTTGCTGACCTAATAGTTTTGCCCTAGGCCAGTCCCTAATTCTATAAAACTTGCTAGGGAATCATAAAAATCATGAAATTCTATTATTATAAGAAGCCATTTCTCTCTGTTTTGAGGCTTTGTCGAATTCACTAAAGTCACTTTTTTTTCTCTCCATGGAAAATAGTGCATGAAATGTTAAGGTTGACACATTTCTAGACCCCAGGTTAAGATCAGATAACCTTCGTATTTTATAAACAAAGAAGCAGAGGGCCAGAGAGGCTTGTTTTGTGCAAAGTTTCTTAGTTGGTGACAAAGCAAAGATGAGAACTGAAGCAGTCACACAATCATTAAAAGAAATAATCCCCCGACCCCCATCAGATTCCCATCTGTCAAACATTTCAGCAAACACAAATAGTCGGTTACTCTCTTCAGGAAGAAGTTTGTTTAGTTCAGCCAAACTTATTATATTTTTCAACAGATGAGGTAAACCAGATTCAGAACTCTACCTTTTTTTTTAACATATGGGGCATGGGACTCTGCTAATAGGAGTCGGTGTGTGGTGGGGATGAGAGGAGAATGCCAAATTAAATGAACAATTTGAACTTAAACCAGAAACATGCTGCTGATGTAAAACACACACACACACACACACACACACACACACACACACACACACACACACACAAACGATGTTGGCTATCTTAGATGCATCAGGATGTTGTGCTGTGATATGTATATATATTTCTATGCAGATGAGTGGTGGGATGTGCATGTGTGTACATATGGGTGATGTGGTATGTGTGTACATGTGTATGTATGGGTAATGTGGTATGTGTGCATATGTATGGATGGGTGAAGTGGTGTGTGTGTGCATGTGTGTATTGGCTGCTATCTTCTGTGAAAAGCAAATGGGAAGCAGCATTTGACCTGGTGAGGAAAAACCCTTAATTAACAGTTGAGCTTTCAAAGGTTAATGAGACAGTCAAGCAGCATTGTCACCCCCAGCTTACCCAGAATTCCCTAAAAGCACTAGAGAAGAAAGTTGAACTGGGGAGATGGCAGTGGAGGAGGGGATACAGGTAGTATTTGGAATATTAGGACTTTAAATCAAGAACTTCCACATGCCACTGGTGCTCATTCTCAGCACTGCATTGATGAGAAGTCAGAAAAGGAGCTGCAGAAGGATGCCTGTCCATGGTCTTGGCCTCCTTTGGAATTTCTTGAGAAAATTCAACCCCTATTTGAACAAGACAACCTGTTACTGTTTTCTACTACCTTTTTTTGGCATTTAATCTAGAAAAACTGAAGTGCCAAGAAAAGAATTGTCACCCTAGATGTAGCACTCTAATTCAGCTCTACATGCCTATCTATAAAAGTATTTTAATGTTTGTAGACAAAACTGAAAGAAGTCCTTTGAGCACTTCAATAATCAGTGCACAGGAATTAAAAGACTGTAAACTCTGCCCAACAGCATGATAATGGTGGCCACAGAGTTCCAAGATGCTCCTTTAGCAGGTCCAGAATTCAGAAGCCCAGGGCAAGGGACTTTGCCTCCTGCCAAATCTTTCCCTTAAAAAACATCTATCACTGGGGGAGTGGGATGTCAGCAAACATTTCCTATAAAGGATCCCTAGTAGGTATTTAACTCTTGGAGCCATAGGTCTTTGCAACAGCTACTCAACTCTGTTGTTGTGGTGCCACAGGCAATACCTGAATGCATGAGCGCAGCCATGTGCCAATAAAACTTTATTTACAAAAACAGGCAGCTAGGCTGAGTTTGGCTCACAGGCCATAGTTGGCTGACCCCTGATTTATCAACCATGGAGTGGTGTGATATTTGGTAACATCAACATGTAGGAACTTACTAAGATTCTCATCAATCCCCTTTGTGCTTTTTATATTTTGTTCTCTTTCGCATTATGAAAATAAGATATGGTCATTGTAAAAATGTAAAGAAAAATAGAAAAAATACAAATTATTCATAATGCCATCAGACATACTCCTTCTTAGTATTTTGTTTTGTTTGGGCTTTTGTTTTATAGAGTCAGGGCAATGCTGTATATTATTGTAAGTGCAAATTTACTTAATTCTCATATTTTTATGCTATTTGCAACATAAGTTTGACTTAATTTTACTAATTTCTAGTAGAATGTTTGATTATTTTTTTTCAGGACCTGTGAGGAGCTTCAGTAATATAATCTCTTCTCTCTGGTGCTTGACATCTGAAGGAACATACATAAGGGAGTGAACCCCACCAGCTCGTTTCTCACAGGTTAGGGTGTGTAATAACCCTGGAGAGTAGCTGTGTGTGTGTGTGTGTGTGTTGGGGAGTGTTGGGGAAACAAACTTGTTACTGATATGACTTCCTTAGGCCCCTGTTAAAACCCATACAAGCCCTTCGGGAAATTCTGCAGTCCAAGCTTTGAGCAGCCCTGGAGGTTGGCAGGTCTCAGGAAATGCTACACCAAAATATGGTGCCTTGGCTTTTGAATACTTTCAGCTAAGGAATTTGAGAAAATAACAGAAGGAGGGAGGTCACAGCTGACCTTCCCCTTCCCCTTCCCCCAGACACAGGTCATAAAACCATGATGTGAGAACCGTCCTCCCCACACTCAGAGGAAATGAGCATCCTTATCTCGGAAGACAAAGAATCTGAACAAACAATAAACATGACTTGCTAATTTTCCCCCAGTCGACTACACTTACCTCATGCTCCTTAACCTAGCATGCTTGTACACATGTGTCCCCTCTTCATCCAACTTCGCATGAGAATACTCATGTCCAACTATTTCTTCAGACCTTCATTTCTTCACGAGGCTCCTGTGTCATGTAAATTTTATACTCAATACCTTGATATGCTTTTCTCCTGTGAATCTGTTGGTCAGTTTAATTTTCAGACCCAGTCAGGCACCCTAAGAGGGTGGCAAACACTTCTCCCTCCCCTACAGGGCAGTGTATCAGACAGGAGATTCCTATATATCCTTTCACTCCATGTGAAGGCTCATACTCCAACTAGACAACAATGTCCCTGCCTTCCACATTCTTGTTATTGCCAATTTGGTCATTTGTCTAATCAATAGTATCTCGAACAGAGAATGTAAGTTCTGGTTTCCAAGAGTTTACAGGAGATAATTAATGTGTAAAACCTGATGCCTAAAAACGCAGGCATTTGGATTTAGAGTGGCTTTCCCATTTCACCCACTACCCTTGTGTGTTCCTAAAATAAAGCTCTTTCTAGTCTGTTGCTAAAGTGAGATGCACTTACTGAAAAAAACAATAGGGAACCAGAACATGACTTTGGACCCGAATGATCTAAGCTAGACACAAATATAAAGAATGGAAACAAATGGAATAAGGCCCTGATACTTTGCAGGGTGGAAGTTACCAGTTGGACAGAGATTTACTCTCAGGCTCATGGGAGATTAGCCATATTTGCTCAGCAAATGAATAACAAAAGGCAGCTGGGGTGATAGTTTTTAATGTAGAGACCATAATTTTTTAAAAGTACTTAGAAATCAGAGACTTGCAGTGGTGTCTGTGAGAATACAAACTTGGCCGCAGACAAACCCCTTCTCTCCTCTGCTTGCACATCTGGGAAACAGGGATAATGATAATCTACCTCTGAGTTGCTGGAAGGATACACTGAGATCATTGATGTAAATCCTGGTGGTGAACCTGGAACGAATGCAGAGTGAGTGTTGCTGTTGTTTATGATAGAACCAGGAAGGTAATTACAACTCTCGATGACTATTAAATTCTCGCAGACCTTTTATTGACAGTGTTGCACTTGCTCTAGTTTGTTTCTGTATTCTGTAAAGGTAATAAGACAATTATGTTATAAATTACACCATTAATTCATTTCAACTAGACTGCCCTCAAATTAATATTAATTAATGATGTTTATGTGTCATTTCAATAGAGGTTAGCATGTTTGCTTTGTAATACCACTGGGAGGAAGAAAGTCAAGTGTTGGGTTTTTTTTAAAGAATAAAAATGGAGGAAGCTAATAGAAAGTGAAGATGAAATATTTACTTCAAGCATTATTCAGTCACGTTATGTGCTGCTTCTTAACAATGAGAACCTCATCCATGATGCCAGGCAGAAGGAAGGTCTCTGCCAGATTAGGGTGGAAAAGAGTGGGGCATGAAGCACATAAAAAAAAAAAACTTGAATGTTTCCAAACGTTCAATCAGTTGCATTTGTCTGAACAACTTAGGAATCGTCAATCATCTCTTTTAAATTATTTAGGCAAGAAAGCGCAATTTGGGAGGAGTGGGCTCCGGAATTGGCTCCAACATGGTTGATTATTTTAAAAAATCATTGCCCCAGTAAATTAAATTTAAAAAATTAGAGATATCCTATACCTTTTAGTGGTGACACAATCTAAAAGGCTCCCCTTGTACAGAAATCAGAATTTCCCAAATTTGCCAACCACACCATGAGTCAGCTGTAGAAACACCCGTTCTCAGACAGCTCAGGGAACCAGCATTTCTAGTAAGTGGCTCTAGTAATCAGACAGGGCAATGCTTCCTAGCAGTGGTTCTCAGCCCTGAGCTTGTACTAGAATCTTCTAGAGGCACCAAGGGCAGCAGCAATGATGGATGCCCAGGCCCCACCCCAAAGTAAATCAGCATCTCTGAAGTCGCCTGGCCACTGAATTCTTTAAAGCTACCCAGACGATGCAGACACATAGCCAGGGCTGAGCAATGCTGTTTCCCTGCCTTGCTACTCAGTGCCATCAGCTGACATGGATGAGCAGCACTGGGGACCTGAGAGAGGGTCAGAAAGGTAGGCCCCGCCCACCCCAGATCCCCTCAGTGGCCATCTGTGTTTGATCAATTCTTGGGATCTCTGCACACTGAAGGTCGACAAGGCCTTTCTAGTGCCTCTCAACAGAACACATCTTTCCTCCCCCTCCCTCTTCCCATTGCACCACCAGCAACACAAGTAGCTGCACGTATTTTCAGGGGTCATTTTCTTTATACTGTTGGCCACTGAAAGCCAACTGAAGAGGGATAGGGTGAAGGCAACCTATCTGTTTCAAAATCATTTATTAAAGTATGTTAACAGTGTACACTGCTCTGACCCAAACACCCCAGCAACATGTAATTGGCAGTTTCTGTTTTATGTCCCATAATCAAAGACATTAAGGATCACTAGCATTCACATCTGAGAATTCATTTAGACAGTTTTCTTTAATTAACGATGAAGACACTACAGTTCTAAGTACCAGACAGAATCAGGGGGGGAGGGGGACTGAAAATAAGCATAACACTCTAAAGAAAACTTGGAAAAGTGAAACACTTCTAAATAAAAATATATACCTGGCCTGGTACCCGTTACAAATATACATAATGCATGTTATACACATATATACAATAAATGTTTTGGTAGCAATACAGACCATGCTTGGTCCTTTTGTACACAGATGAAGTAGCACCATGAGCAGCACCACCATCTTCAGATGATAAACCAAACTGCACATACATGAAATGAAAAAAATATATATGTATTTAATTTGGCCCACCCTGTAGCCAAGAGGTGTAAGGAAAGAGCTTTGCAAGAAAAATTGTCCCAGGAACTACATTCTTAATCCAGTAGAAAAGTTCTAAAACAACAACAAAAGCCCTAGCACTAAAAATGTCTATACAAATACAGGCAAGTTTTCCTGTTCACCGTATTTGTCCTATCATGTGGTATATTGGTTAACATTGGGGAAATTAATCACTTAAGCAAAGAGAGAAACTGAAATGCAGGGTGAATGGCAAAAGTCTAAAACACCAGATCTCTTGGTATATACATCACACATGCCAAGTCATCAACAAACCAGGAAAGGAAGACAACTCCCCAGCTAAGTCATACGTTTTCTAATCTTATAAGCTGATAATAAGCTCCTTATTACTGAAATTCCTTAAGATTAGGGTGAAACACCTTCAATATCCTACTTCCTCCCAGCACTTACATGATGTTCTGGTTACAAGGAGTGAGGGACACCTCAACATGCCACCTGATGCACATTTTCTCTATCTACAATTAGGGGGCTGGATTATGGAGCTATGGGAGGACCTCCAAGGTTTTCTCTGTCTTGGCTTTGGAAATGACCACAGGCACCAGCATTTAACCCTTGATGTTCTCCTAACTACAAGAAGGTTGTTTATGCTCTACAGAGCAAAGCTCACAGACTAGAGGTCTTTCCTTAGTATTGGCAATGTCACATTTCTTCATATCCCTAGCAGCTCATGCTTTTTCCTCTCCAGTTTCTCAGCAGCCTATATGAATGCAGCATCACCGCCAACCAACGTTCACCGTGTCCTAGGAACACTCAACTCCCCTGTCAAGTCATTGCAAAGAAGCGATTTCATATTTGGCTTCCATCCATCCTCCTTCACATGCCTTCCAAAGGGTTCTGTCTCTCCCCAATCAAGGTCTTAATTCCCACAGTGTCTGGGGCTTCAACACCTCCTCATGTGATGGACTGACCCACGGAGCTCTGCCAAAGCATTCGGAGCACTTCACAGCCATCCCATTTCTCATGGCTCTTTTGTGTCAGTGGACAATGAGCTCCCTTCCCCCGACTTCAACCACTTCTAGTAAATAAAACTAAAATTTTCAACTACATGGCACATTGCATTCAGGAACACAACAGAGCTTCAGGATTGCACAATCCTGTTTCTTACAGTATAGTACAGTTGTTTCTTAAAACTCTGTCTCACACTTAAAAGATAACTAGCTAGGAGACAATAGTCAGGGAAGGAAAAGTTAGAAATCTCTACCTCTGGCTAGATGATTTTTACTCCACCTCTGGCTAGATGATTTTTAGTAAATGAACATTTGCAGTCAACCTAGATTAGTCAAGAGAGTCCCTGACCTTTGAAAGTGAGCAAGAAATAGCCACCAATGTAACATCAGTACAGTATTGACTCAGGCGGTTGATTATTAATGGATTCTCTTCACTTCTAGCTGGTTCTAGGACCTTTTTTTTTTTTTGCTCAGAACGAAGATATCATCAAAGTCATGAAATATATTTGTTCTCTCCACAAAGGAAAAATTTTAAAACTCTGCCAAAGTCTCTAAAAAAGAATGCTATGAAAGTGGTTTCATGAAGAAAAAGCCAGTAACTTAGAGTTAAACAGAGGCCATCTGAATCCCCATTAACGTGAGCCCTTAGCTGGCCTACAAATACTTTGAAACGGATAAAAGTCAAGTCTCCCCAATAGGAACTGAACACAGGGACTCAGCAGCTGCTCAAGATCAACCCTTTTCCCGCCTCAAATACCAGCAACTTCCAGTTTCCAAACGGTGAAATTTGATAACACTTTCAAACCCAGCTTAGGGACCACTAGGAGCAGCTTAGATAATGTCTACCCTTATGCTATTTAACTGAACAAAACAGAGAACTAGACACCACGAGATGGGGTTTTCCAGTCTGTTCATTTCTATTCTGACCCAGAATTGGTTGATAATTCCACATGCAGAGGTATCTCGGTAATAATCAACATTTAGGTTCCTTGAGAAATAATAACTAGCTTGACAGGAAAACGATCGGGGCTGACTTAGTTCATTGATTTCTGCTTGGAAGTAGCAGGATAGCCTACACGTCTCCTACACTAATAAGAGTATGAGTCAGAATACTTGAAAAATGAAAGTTAGTTTGACCAACAAAGTGTTTTTCATAAGAGAGTAAAAAAAAAAAAGTTCTTATCAGATTTTTATAATTGGTAGTGTTTTCTCCTAATAGGAAATGATGTAATTCAGCAAGTTCCTTGAAAACAATGGATTCTTATGACTACAGACCTATTTATCTTAGAAATTGATGAGCATGCAAATGATTAGAATCTGCAACAATGAACATTGTACAACAGTCTGTGAGGTACAGGCCATCCAGTTGAATTAGCAGTAACATGGGCCTCAACAGTGTGAGGGGTTCCATTTATCGCCCCTTCCTTTTGAGTACAGTACCCCCAACCCTGGCCCCTTCCTTTAGCCCACCCCTGCCCAGGGAGCACAATCCTACAGAAAAATAAAATGTTGCTCCATCAACAGTAGGGCTGGGAATTTCTGATACAGAGTTTACATAGACTCCGAGGGAGCCTGATGTTGGCATTACTCACTTATAGGAAGTTTCCTGGTAAAAAGGTTAAAAACTTTGTCGGCAATACCTTTAAGTTCATTGCCATTTTCTATTACCAAAGGAAAAATTCCAAGATATGAGTACTTTCCAAAGAAGAAAAGGATTAACATTTTCACTGCTGGCTAGATATTTCAATAGCTGGTCATTCAGCTTTGATGGGCTCTCTGTACACTGGGTTTTATTAACTAATCACTAATAGCCTAGTACCCACAAGGGCAAATGGGCCAAATTACATTCAGTTAAATCATGAAACACTGGAAGTTCTCAGAAAGCATGAGATAAGCTCTTAAAGAAAGTGACATGTAGTTCTGGTCATGACAAAAATAAAAATAAAACAGTTTCTGGAATTTTAATTTCTGGTTAGAAATTAAAGACAAGTACTCACTTGTCTTAGTATCTTTCTTGAGACAGTATAGGAAATGAAACATCCTAATGTGTGCACAGAAGAAAATGGTGCAATGTAGCAGGAAGCTTACAGAAGTGGGGGGAGGGGAGAAGAAAAGATCAACAGTCTCTAGTTTATTATGAACAGACAGAAATTTCCAGAATTTACAAACACCCACATTGTTCATTCCAAAGAGAGCTTTTGATTTGAAGGGATTGCCCATGTCTCCTTCTCTGTACAGTATGTACAATGGAAGACTTTGATTTCCTTTTCTTATCTTTCGGCTTCCATTCAATTGCCAATGTTAAGCTGACACTCGAAAATACCCAGTAGACTATATACCCTTCTTCAGTTCAATTAACATGGCCTATTGCCTTACAGGAAAAATATAAAATTAAGATCAATTCTTGTAAGGATCTCAACTCAACACCAGGGCTATAATACAAGAGATAGTTTCAGCAAATATAACTATACAATTGAGAACCACCTATGGCACTATGATTCTTATATTATTTTTCTGAGTTACAATCTTAAAACAAGGGCTGTACCCTAGTCTACTCTTGTTAGCCTTGTTTTAAGCATTTGCTCCACTCTTTACAACAGAACATTGCATACCTCAGTTCCACATCCAAAAAAAAAATGTGCGCTGTAAGAAAAGTTACATTTTAATTAAAAAAATTACACATATAAATCAAAACCTATGTTAAATATTTAACACTCTTTCCACCCAACGTGAACCGTTTTGTGTGAAATAATTTACAACGATGCTCTGTCGCACAGTTTCAGCAGCAGATGAAATGTATCGTGTAGATGGTGATGAGAGGAAACCCATTCTCTCGCAGCATGGTGGGGGGCACAGCAGCTCATGTGGCCAGCTAAGTCCTTAAGGTTGAAGATGAAATTTATGCAGACTCATTGTCCCGGTGTCACAGTGCTTTTTTTGCTTGGCACAATAAAGAACGTGCAGTTCAGTCAACGGACTCCTGAGGATTTGTAAAGTAAACAAACTGAAATGGATGCATCGTACCATCTACAGAGGAGGAAGATGTGAGGTCCTGGTTGTGAATCATGAAATAGTTCGAGTCTGGGTACCCATGAGTTAGAGGAGGATTTGCTGAGGTCATTTAGGTCTTCATTCTGAAAAGGAAAAGAAAACAATTCATCACCTGGGCACCTGGACATCACTTACTACTAGAGAATAAGTCAACCTGGATAGAGAGGCAAAGTCAGTCACAATCAACCCTAGAACTCGGGTTCCTATTTCCAAGGCCCAGAGCTCTTTCCAGGAGACCATGCTACTGGTTCCCTTCACCTTGGCCAAACACTCAGCTCCAGGGTGGTTCGGATAAATCTGGGATGACTTATTGGGAGAAACCTGGGAATACAAATAAGGTCAAATCATTTCTCTTTTCTCTGTAACATCATACTCTGGAGATCAGTTTCTTTCTACTCCCCACCAAGCCAAGCTTAAAAAACCACTTGCTACACTGCCATACCCCCCATCGGTGACGTGTCGGGCCTGCAGGGTCCCATTCTCATCCTTTGCAGTCCATGTTAAGGAGCTAGCTCATCTGATCTTTTAGGATTGTCCTATGAAACCCTGAAGTTGTTAGGGTTTTGCTTTAAAAAGAAGGCCTATCATATCAGATGAACTGAAGTCACAGGCACAAACAGTACTGTGTGCTTAAATAAAATCAACAAACTGTATTTAACTTCTTTTTTTCTCTCAAAATGCAAGAGTCCAAAGCAATCACAAACTCAAAGTAGTCAATATTAAGTCAGCAAACAAATCAATGTGATTTGGAGGTTTCAGAGGCTTAGCAACACAAAAATACACAGCGCTTTGATGTTCTGACGATCAAAACAAAAATGTACATTACAGTTATTGTGGAAAACTACAACAAAATAGGGCAAGCAGGTAACAGTGAGGCTATGCTGAATCTTCTTTTGGTTAAAAGTCATCTGCAAATTTTAGAGTTTGAAATCACAAGGCTTAACATTACAAAATCTGAAATCAGGTTTTAACTTGCTGTTGTTTGACATGAGCATTTTAGACACAAAAGGAAACTCAAGCAAAACAGACCAAGTTAATCATTAAATTAAAAAAAAAAGATTCTGATTTAGGTCAAATAGAATAAATTATTCTGGTGGATGCACATTTCTTTTATGCAATTCAAGAAGGCAGACCTCAGGGGGCATTATCCCATCCCCTCCAGTGAGTGGATCCACCTTTTCAACCTCACAAAAGTTTGTTAAGTTCTCAAGTACCAACATTAGAGAGTATTTCTGGCATACATATTTTTCATGCATTCTAAAGTTCTCTATAAATATCAACATTTATAGAATGTCCTAAATAGAGCAGTTAATTAATAAAAACTTGTTGAATTAGTAAAATGGTTGCATTAAATACTATGGAGACTACAAAGCTGAATTGTGCTACAGGCCCTGCTTTCTAGAAATTCTAGAAAGGAAGCTCCATTCACAAAGAGATAGAATGCAGAGTAGAAAGGGGTGAATTCCACAGTAGATGCACAGGAAGAAAGCTCTAGGTGCATGGAGGAGGGAAAGGATGCTTTAGCTAGGAATAGAAGGGAAGTACCTCGCTAACATACTTGGTTTGGCTTGGAAGACAAAAACATTTTGGGGATGTGGACAGAGGGATTATGTTTATGTTGCTTCCAGTTGCATCTCCAGAGCTTAGCACAAAGGCTGGCACATAGCAGGTACTCACTAAATATGAGCTGAATGAATGATAGAGACAAAGCACACTCTACTGAAAGCACATAATGAAACAAGGCCCAGCCATGGATCGACAGGTCCAGTGAAGACTGTGGCTTCGTTGGAGCACGAGGCATCTGAAAAGGGGTAGAAGGAGTTAAGTCTACAAATGCAGATTGGGATAGATGGGGAAGAGCCTTGATTGGCAGGTCAAGACACCTTTATCTAAGTATATGGATAACAAGGACATACTCTGTGATATGATCAAAGTGCAGCGGTGATAACCAATGTCAGCTGCAAGGACAGTAATGGCTTTTAAAACTCACACAATGAAAATGTTGAGCAATATAGCTGTTTTGTTTTTTTCTCTTTCCTCTTGAAGGAGGGTATGGCTGAGATCAGTCAGCACTCACTATTTACATAGTGGCTCAGGTAGGTTGAAATTTACCAGATGAGACCTCAGTATTATGAGGAGATTTCTATTTATTTTAAAATATTAACTCTACCCCTAAACAATAGGTAAATGGCCTATTATAAAGACTTGACAAGCAGACAACACATGACAAAAAGGCATTCCAGGGTATCCCTTAAATGCCAGAGAAACAGGATTGACTTTGCATGGTGTCTACAAGTGAAAGGCTAACCCATCCTCTCACAACCCTCAGAGAATGGTCTACAGATCTCTTAGTTAGTTTCAAGTTTCTCCTGAACTTATATTGTGATCTATCAGATTGTTCCTACCAGAGTATCTAGGTACAGCTTAACTAATACAGTTTCACAGTGCTGGGCTGAAAATGAGGTAGGAAGGCCACACTTTATTAAAGGGCTGAGACCAACATACTGCCGAATGTGAAATGAAGGACAAGTGAAGGTCATGTGTTGCTTTTATATCTGGCTCTCCTCCAGAATGGCTGAATGAACAGCTTAGCACAGGAACAAAATGTATCCATCCAGTCTTATCATCACATGGGCCAGATCTGCATGGATGCAGAAAGGAGGAGACTGGGAGCCCGATGAGAAGAGAGAAATCTACAGCATCACCAGTGGTGGGAATCTGCTGCTTTGGGGCACTCTGAACCCAGCCCTGTAATTTCCCACCAGCATGTCTGTTCAAAGAACAGGAAATAAAAGGATATATCAATTCCAATATCTTCCTTTCCTCCAAAGTCTTAGCATACTGTTTTCAAAGCCCTTTATCATGAATCCTGATCAACACATGTCTCAGTCACTAATGGTACCTACCGGTGCCATCAACTCAGGAGTCTATATAAAAGTGAAAGCACCTGACAGATAATCCTGACTAGGAGGGAAGGGGAATGGAGGGCTATAAACAGGCCATAGAGATCAGGAGACATTACAGGGAATGTCTGAAGTTCACATCTGTTTATCTTCGTACAAGGGTGTGTGTGTGTGTGTGTGTGTGTGTGTGTGTGTGTGTGTGTGTGTTTGTAAATATACATAAAGTTTAGCTACACAGTAAAGACATCGATTTTTAACAGACATCCCCCAGTGGGAACTGCCTTTCACTGCGGCCACCTTCGGGTAATACTTATTTCAATCAAGCAGCCATTGTTCGGGGCATTTTTGGAATGCCTTCTCAAGTTCCCATTTCTTTTTCTGCGACTGCCTTCTCAGCCTTGGGTATATTCTTTTGAATGGTCTCTATAGCAGCCAGTCTTGTCCTTCAAAGGCCTATTTGATCTTTGGAGACAGCCAAAAAGCTTTGAGAGCCAAATATTGTGAATAAAGGGGCTGATTAAGCTGGGTAATGGTTCCCAGAGAGGTATTATCTAAAGCCAAAGGACTCCAAAACTGAAGTTCCCAAAACAGAGCTGTTCACAATTGCCCTGATAGTTTTGTTGGAAAGGAACTCTCATAACATTACAGGCAGACCTTAGCATGTGCTTCACGGACTTAAATTCAGCTGCCGATATCCCTGCCCCTACACACACGTAATCAAGAAGGGCTGAGCTTGAATAAAGGAACTCACTTGAACAGAGGCAAACATGTAGATCATGCATTTTTGTAATTTAGGAATTTTTTTAAAAAGAAAACACACACACACAATACCCATACTAGGCTCCTGCAGTCATTTAATTCAACAAACATCTGTTGTTGATAAATAAAAATGCAACGATAAGGATGATGATATGTACTAAAAATCAAAATATTGGTATGTGTATATTTAATGCACTTTATATATACAACCCCAACTGACTCACACCAACCATACAAGGCAAATATCACTACGATGTTTTACAAATCCAAAAACTCATTTGTGACACTCATAAACTGGACATAAAAAAGCAAACTGTTTCCTTGCAGACGAGCTGTGCAAATAGCAAATGGTGATGCTCCTATGATACATCCTCCTAGTTACATCATTGGGGAATAACTCGGGAGCCCAGAAATATGAAGCACCTGTCATGAGATTTAGTGGCTGGAAATTACATTCTGACAACCACGCCAGCATCGACTGTATCCTTCCGTGTGTCTTCTTGTAAGATAAAACCCACTCAATCCTATTGCCAGTAATGAAAAATGTAATTTCTGAAGTATGATCAAATAAGTCAACACTTGAGCAATGCTACTTGAGACCTATGGCTTATTGCATTAGTGCATCCGGTAGGAATTTACATATTCTGGACGGGACCCACTTCAACCATGCCTACTACAGCTGAAAAACAAACAAAGCTTCAGCTGCCTTTCACACTGTCAGCCTACCCATGAGTCTTCACTGTGAAAGCAGCTGAAAACAGCTCAAGGTTATGCCTATAAGTACAATGGAGTGATCAGCCCTCTTTCATCAATGCATTTTTAGTCAAAGCCATTGATTAACAGCTTTTATTTTGTATTTAAATGTGCTGAAACATCCTGCCAATTTGCTGGGTCAAGTGTAACACTATCATAAATACCTAGTTAGAGCATTACTAACAGTTTTTACTTTTACTACGAAAATGGGAGTAAAATATTATAAGCTACTCGGCTATTGTCATATACTAAAATTTAATCAGAAAGTAACTCTTCCTCATCCAACTGTGCTTGAAAAAAGATGAGTACAGTAAAGACTTTTCTTCAAAGGAGATCATTGTTTGAAATTTTATATTGTTGATTCAACTAGAAAAATTTGTATAAATAAATTCCTCCTCTTAAAGAAATGTGTTAAAACAGCATATTTCTTTTTTTCTTAATATAAACAGCTGTGACTTAAAAAACATTCTTGAGTATAATACAGAAAAATTCTTGAGTATAAGTTATAGCATAATTATAAATGTTTAAGTAGGGGAGGAAAATAATATTTTGATCATGTTTAGATCTTTCCCATTCTTAAAAAAAAATTCTGTGATGAGAAAATCTATGGAATGTTAACCAACTTTTTAAGTCCTCTAGGTAGTCTATCCCTTTCTCATACTCCCAAT